CACCTGCAAGGTGCTCTCAGAATTGGACTTGTGAAAGGGAAGTGTTCAGCCCCAGTGCTGATGTCTCTCCCCGCTTGGTTTGTTTACAGCAATTTGTTTGCCCGGATGCGATGAGCAACATGGCTTTTGCGACAAACCTGGGGAATGCAAGTAAGTTTTCCACTGCCTTCCCACTCCCTTCTTTGTCTTTAACATTGATGCCATCGGTCATTTAAAGGGCCCGTTTAAATGCCTTTCTTCATATTAGATAGTAACTTGAGAAATCCAGGTGATGCCAGATCAAACTATTAATCTACAAGTCAAACATTAGTGCCATTAATATTAACTTGATGAGTTTACAATGCTGTGTGTAAGGTTTAGCTGTTTGACATTAGAGTAAACAAATTAACTACCTGGAACCATGGCTCTGTCTAAGGAAGTGGAAGAAATAGCTGGGACTGATGAAAGCTGATTCTGCGGTTGGACTTCATGACTTTCTCACATGAAGGATCACTGAGGGCTTTTCGGAAACTTGATCCTTGGCATCAGTGTGTTTGCAGAGTTTGTGATAGAGTTTCCAACTGTGAGAAGTCTAAATCTGATGAGACTTTGTTGTTGGGTTTTTTTTTCAGATGCAGAGTGGGTTGGCAGGGGCGATACTGTGACGAGTGCATCCGATACCCGGGATGCCTTCATGGTACCTGTCAGCAGCCTTGGCAATGCAACTGCCAGGAAGGCTGGGGTGGCCTTTTCTGCAACCAGGGTAAGTTCTCAGTCCCTGCCTGAGCCTCTTTTTTTAAAATGCAGAAAGCAAGCAGCTATATCCAGCTCACCCACCCTGTGCCAGCCTTGCAAAGTAGCAAATATCTACTCTCTTTTTTAAAAAAAAATAATCTTTTACAGACTTGAACTACTGCACCCACCACAAGCCCTGCAAGAACGGTGCCACATGCACCAATACTGGTCAGGGGAGCTACACTTGTTCTTGCCGACCTGGGTACACAGGCTCCAACTGTGAGATTGAAATCAATGAATGTGATGCCAACCCTTGCAAGAATGGTGGAAGCTGCACTGTAAGTTTAAGTTGCTTTTGCCATCTGAAACCCCAAGGAAGGAGTTAATGTCAGTTTTCCTGATTTTCAAAATCCCTTTTTTGATTTCAAAGCAACTTCAGATAAATATTTTGACAATTTCTCATTTCTTTCCCCAAGGATCTTGAGAACAGCTATTCCTGCACCTGCCCCCCAGGCTTCTATGGTAAAAACTGTGAGCTGAGTGCAATGACTTGTGCTGATGGACCATGCTTCAATGGTGGGCGGTGCACCGACAACCCTGATGGGGGATACAGCTGCCGCTGCCCACTGGGCTATTCTGGGTTCAACTGCGAAAAGAAAATAGATTACTGCAGTTCCAGCCCTTGTGCTAATGGTAAGACCAAGCATGCAACAGTGACCTTCTAAAAGGAGACCATCCAGTTACTTTGGCTTCTGGACTGGAGTTCATAATAAGGCCCTATGGACCAGTCATGGTCCATCTCATGTCAATAGTTGAATTGTTGGAGGATCTGTACTTAAAAGGTACTGATGTAGTTTGGGCCACTGCTGCAGATCATATTTTCTCAAAGGGTGACTGTGGCCTGGTCACTTGGCCTGAAGCTTCATGCATAAAAATATGGAGGATTATACTTGCAAGTGTTTTGCAAAGACACTGAGGTCTGTGGATGCAAAACACCATACAAGTGCTAAATATTATGACTTGCAATCTGGTAACAATAATCTTTCTCTTTTGATTAATCTAGTGAAGACTTTCTTTACTGCAGTACTTCTCATTCATTGCCACTCAAACTCTGTAACTCGAGATTGTGGTGTTAACTTGATCTGGACTAGCTTTGTTGTCCAAGCTGAGTGAAACGTTAAAAAGGGAATAGGACAGAGAGTTAAAAATAGGTCTGATTATGTCCCTTTAAAAAACCCTGTACAGTAGATCAGACTTGGCAAAGGTTGAGTTAACCTCTCAAAAAGAAAGCTTCTCTTGGCTGCCCATTGTTGTGATCACCCCAAGAGCAACAGGTGGGAGGCTGTCAGGTCCAGCTGCCCACTACTCAGTGCTCATCCCCCTTGATGTCTTGCAGGAGCTCAGTGTGTTGACCTGGGGAACTCCTACATATGCCAGTGCCAGGCTGGCTTTACTGGGAGACACTGTGATGATAACGTGGACGACTGTGCCTCCTTTCCCTGTGTCAATGGAGGGACCTGCCAGGATGGCATCAATGACTATTCCTGCACCTGTCCCCCGGGATACAACGGGAAGAACTGCAGCACCCCGGTGAGCAGATGTGAACACAACCCCTGCCACAACGGGGCCACCTGCCATGAGAGAAACAACCGCTACGTCTGCGAGTGTGCCCGGGGCTATGGTGGCCTCAATTGCCAGTTTTTGCTCCCCGAGCCCCCTCAGGGGCCGGTCATCGTCGACTTCACTGAGAAGTACACTGATGGCCAGAACGCCCAGTTCCCCTGGATTGCTGTCTGTGCTGGGATTATTCTGGTCCTCATGCTGTTGCTGGGGTGTGCTGCTGTGGTCGTCTGCGTCAGGCTCCGAGTGCAGAAGAGGCACCACCAGCCTGATGCCTGCAGGAGTGAGACTGAGACCATGAACAACCTGGCGAACTGCCAGCGTGAGAAGGACATTTCCATAAGTGTCATTGGTGCCACTCAGATTAAAAACACAAATAAGAAAGTAGACTTTCACAGTGATAACTCCGATAAAAATGGCTACAAAGTCAGATACCCATCAGTGGATTACAATTTGGTGCATGAACTCAAGAACGAGGACTCTGTTAAAGAGGAGCACAGCAAATGTGAAGCCAAGTGTGAAACATATGATTCAGAGGCAGAAGAGAAAAGTGCAGTACAACTAAAGAGGTATCTCTCACAACTGAGCGTATGGGACAGCTTGACTCTGGGGGTGGGGTGTGTGTGTCTCATAGGTAGTGTTAAGCAGCAGCCATCTCACCTGTGTTGTCTCTCTTTGTCTTCAATAGTGATACTTCTGAAAGAAAACGACCAGATTCAGTATATTCCACTTCAAAGGACACAAAGTACCAGTCGGTGTATGTCATATCGGA